ATATAAAAAAAAAAAAAAAAAAAATGCATTAGACATGCTGTGTTCAAAGTGAAACATAGTTAATTAGGTAAGGGGCATAACTCTGATAAATAATTCATAGTAATTGTCAGGAAATCAGTTTTTTGAATTTTTCTAGAAAGATATTTTTCACTTAGTTAAAAAATAAGATTCCATAAAGACCAAAACAGCTGTGTTATACAAGCTGTTAGTTATGAAGTGTCAGGTCTAACATTTATTTGTTCATAATCAGTAAAAAGTAAACAGACAATGTTTAGGTGTTGATGTACATATCCTGGTTTAATGAACATGTTAACTCCATTCTTTTATGTATGTCTCATAACTAAGGCAGTTGAACATGATGAGGCTAAAACACACTTTACTCAGCTCACAAAAATTGCAGATTTTATTCCTGTTTTTACATCATTTAACAACATTTGAGATGTTGCTTCTTCTTTTTTACAATTTATAAAAACATTATAATTATATTATAAACAAGAGGTCCAGAGGAATCTTGGTGCCCACCCTTGTACAATCTTTATTAGTTCTTTGCCAGTTTGATCTTTTCTCTTCTTTTCTCTAATCTGTTTGATCGAGTTATGTTAACATGAGTAAATGCACCTAGGGGTAACGTTTGACCTAAACCTCATACTGCTGTGTATAATAGACAACCTTCAAAGTGAGTTTGTTGTTTCACATATTTACTAGTACAGTCCTTAATGTGAAAGAAATAGAACCGATCATTGAAACATCAGAGAGATCTATTAAGTTCTTCGTTTGGCCATCTTGTTATTTTGATCACTCTCAAAATATAACAGGTACAACTTAGGAACAAGGGGAACCTACATATCAAATTTGAGAAAGATACCTCAAGTACTTCCTTAGAAATAGTACTAACAAACCTTCAATGTCAAATTCAAGATGGCTGCCTGTCCACCATTTTGTTTATTCAATCAGTCTGCAATGAAAACATGAACAACAACCAACCAAGGGGAAACTTCATACCAAATTTGAGAAAGATCCCTCCAGTACTTTCTGAATAATAGTGATAACAAGAATTGTTTAAAGACGGACATCCGACGACGGATGGACGGACGGATGGGGGACCAAACGAAGGGTGATGTGAATAGCCCATCATCGCATGATGGTTGGCTAAAAGTCAAATTTTCCTGAGAGACTGGGCGAGACATCTCCACAGGAAGACTCGGCGAGCTGTACATAATATACCATCAACAACGTTAACTAGGAAACATTAAAAGTAGTACAGACTCTGAACAACCAACATGTGACCAATATCGCTATGGTCTCTGAACAACCAACATGTGACCAATATCACTATGGTCTTATTATAACCATATATAAATGGTACATAAAAATGTGTACACACTATCCAGGCTAGTCCAACATATTACCAACAGGAATCAAGTTTGTGTTTAAAGGCCAAGCCTCATGTTGACCTTAACCTGGCCATAATCTCTATTAAACACAAGTGTTACACTTAAATGAAGTGTTGACATTTAATCAACAGCCTCACAGAGTCCCTAGTAGGTTGATTTGCAAGCTTTGTTTACTGCAGTCTTTTCCCATGGCCCCA